ACTGAAAGAGTATTTATTATTTAACGTAAATAGGACGGATACTGGCAAGATCTAGTATCAAAACATTAAGTCAGCTTAATTATTATTTTTTGACTAAGTGTTGTATTACCATAAGATATTCTTATTTACGTTTATTAACATTTAAAAAATCAGCGTTGCACTGCAATAGCTTAGAGTTTGTTTGTTAATTTACACCAAACATATTGTAATTAATTTTTTCGCTGGAATTCAATATAATAGTCAAAAAAATCTAGTAATTTAAGTTGTGCAAGTTATAATGAAATTTTTTTTTCGTACATCAAAAATTAATGTTAAGCATTTATAGTCCTTGTTTGTTTTTGGTACCTATGTGAATGTAGTATGGATGATTTTTAGGCTCGTACCCTAAAATTGGTCTTTCCATACATGTACTTTATATCTCTTCCCTTTGAAATAAGAGAAGTATTACATTATTGCAAATAAAGGGAATGATGATTCATCGAAAAGACGACAGCTGAAGTGAAAACTAGTTGTAAAACAAAGTCTCTGTTGCAAACAACACATAAGTACCCCTCATAGTATTCATCCAAAAAGCTTCCCGAAACAGTTCGCAAAAAAGCGCTAGTATTTTTTTTAGCACTAACTAATACTAAAAGCGTTTCTGTCACATACTGACTTTCTCCTGATTATCTTCTAGAGATCCATTAAACTTACATATAGTACGTACAAACATGCTCTGTGTATACGAGATTTTACAAGACACTTAATTTCCTACATTTGATAATATAATTAGGTAGTGTGGATCTATAAGTATTTAGGTATTATAACTAATAAAGTCAAGGCCGTTTACATTCTAACAAATCCGTATACTTCGAAGACTGTTGAACTGGGTTAATATACTCAAAAATAAACACTCAGTGTGCGTAAAGACCTTGGACATACTATATTCGCTATGCGCCTATGTCAGGTGGCGCCGTCGAGTGAGAGAAATTGTCCCTCGCTAAGATCGCCAGAATGCATGTAGCCTTATAGTAAAATTTAAAAAAAAGTTAGTAAGAGTGGATTGATCAAATGAATCAGTGATATAAATGTGTGTTATGTCAGTGCACAGTAATAAATTTAGTTTGGTGTCGTCATGTGTACTACAAGATCAGAAACAATAAAAACATGAATTGGGACTGTGGTAACACAGTAAATATAAATGCATATACATGCTTGCACTTGCGTGGAGCTCGATAAACACAAGTACTGCTTACATTTATCTATTTCTCACAATACAGTGTTCAATAAAAGTAAATACTAATGACAGGTTAGGTTCACTCTTACACATTTATATTACGTTTCCGTGGACTACTTGTGTCCTTTAAGCTGTACACAAGTGCAACTATGTAAATGCACTCAAATATGCTGTGTTATCACAGTCGCAATCCATGTTTTTATTTTTTCCAATTTTGTAGTACACGTAATAACACCAAACAAAATTTATTACTGCACAATAACATAATACACACTCAAATCACTGGTTCATTTGGTCAATTATTTTTAATAACTTTTTTTTAAATTTATTAAAAAGTTTTTCTATAAGGCTCCATGCATTCTGGCGATCTGAGTGAGGAACGATTTCTGTCACTCGACGGTGCCACCTGATATAGGTGCATAGCGAATAAACTTATGCAGTAGAATCTCATTAACCTGAAATTCTTGCGTACTTGAAATACATTTTTTTCCTTGAAAAACTTTCGTTAACTCGAAAAAATCCTATGTAAAATGATATTCTCGTTGACTTGAATTTCGTTTTGACCGAAAAAAATTTTTTTTTCATAATATTCCGTCTAAAAACCTGTATAATTTACAGTAACCAGCCGCAAGCACCCTGTAACGAAAAATGACAGTATAAATAATGTGATAGTATGAACATTAGTATATTTATGTACAAGAAACCGTTAGTACTGATAACTTGATTATCGTACTGGCAAGTCCTCAAAGAGAGTTGATGTGTTTAAGCATTCTTTAAAAAGTAAGTTATCAAAGCTGTTGAGTGTAACGTGAAAAGCAAAAAAGATAGCAAAGTAATTTTATGTTCCTAGTAGTACATTGTCGACTATTTTAAAAAATAAACATGAAATTTCGGAAAGATTTCAAAATAGTCACCGATCACGCAAAAGAAAAAGAAAAGCTTATGGATTTTACACAGATTCTGACATTATTGATAGTGTTCACAATGAAATTGACAAGAGCTCTGATGCCGACATGACGGAGGCAGACGATTGCGAGAAGAGCGTCGTTAACAATGATGCTTAAAGGGCACTTAGTACTTAAAGCACGTATTTAGAAAGCTCGGAAGAAATGGATGATAGTATTTTTAATCTTTAAACAGTATTAGTAATGTGCTTGATATGCAGTTTACAAAATCTAAGTATCAAAAAAAGTAACTGATTATTCTTACAGTAATGATTCAATCGCAATAAATACAAAAACTTAACTTTACGTGTAATGAATAACACGAAGTGTATTTCATTCAGCCTTTTTATCTCGAATTATTCCTGAACTCAAATGACTTGCTTACTCCAAAAATTTGTCAGTCCCTTCAAATTTGATTTAACGAGATTCCACTGCAATATTTAAAGCTTCAAAAATTGAAGCCGACTTCTTATATTTCTAAGCAGCAAACCCAGTTTTTGGAGACAAAAAGATTAACTTTTGTTCAAATATACATCAAATAAGTAATTTAGTGTATCACAAAGAAGATTTTTGAGTTATTGCTGAATGGCACCATCACGTTACATATCACGAAAAAATCCTATGTGATGAAATTGTCACAATTTTGAAATGAGAGGTGGCAAGAGCAAGTTTATTGGCTTGGCCAAAATAATCAATGTTTTATTCGCTCATCATGTTCAACTAGACAAATAAAAATATGAAACAAACGAAAAAAAAATTCTTACTACAGCAAACATAATCATGAACTTGAACAACTAGAGCGTAAAAAAACATTTGATGATGCATCACCACTGATATTCTAGTTTATTCTTTAGCCAATAATTAAATTACTGAATATAAAGTTACTTATAATCTACTATTAGGTGATACACGATTGTATCTTTTTTCTTGTTAGGAATCTACACAACAGTTTGTAGTGTTAAATATTATTTGGGCATTAAGTACAAAGGCTCGACTTGATGTAGTGATGACTTTCTTTTGAATTTGAATTACTGCTAAAGTACACATTTTATCAAAAATATTCTTATTTTTTGACAGTATTTTAGTATCATTTAGAATAATGATTATAAAATCCATTTAAATTGGTAGCTTTTTCTGTAATAATTTTAAAATGATTTTTTTGTTACATTATAAAACACAACATTCCACTATATTCCACTTACATGTTTCACTATTTTTGGCATACCATATTGGATCCATCATTAGGAGTTTTATAACTTTAACTCAGTATCTGTTTTTAATAAGCTATCTCCACAGATACAATCACCTTACAAATTTTTTTTCGATTGTTACGTGTGTATTTCAAACCGCTAGTATGGTAATCGCCAAATATTATACAGACTGCAGCTGTTATACTTGGTCTGTTATTTCAATTTTTAATAACCGCCACTTAAGTTTTAAGAGGAATGATAATAAGCCTGAAATAAGCTACAGTAAGTTTAACTTGAGGGCAATAACAAATGGGTAGCGTTTGAGTACCAGATGATGAAAAATGCCTAATACATCTAATAAATCTTAGTTCATACTGCTTTAATCAGATAATACATTTCCTTGAGGTCTGACTGATACCAATGTAATGTAATTTATCTCTTTCCGTTTTTTTTTTTTTTTTTTTTTTTTTTTTTTTTTTNTTTTTTTTTTAATATTAAGTTCTTCGCTGTTTTTTTTTCTTTAAATTTTTTGTTAACATCGGCATCAGGGGTCGATTTAAGCTGAAACCCCTTGCTGTCTATACCTTTTTTTTGCTTATCAATATGGAAATGGCACAAAGTACAACCCTGAGTGCCCGAAAGGCACTTTTGTTGTGTGTTGGTGCCCGAGTCGCGTATAATGTTTTTCTTATCGAGAGCGCAAAGTTCAATTTTGCGCTCGTGGGCATACTTTGCGCCCAGTAAATTACCTGAGACCTTAAAGCAAAAAATACTTTTCTGCCCGTGGGTCCAAAGTGATAACAAGGGCTCAATGTGTAACTCGAGGGTGCCAAGCAGCAGCATGGCAAAAAAATTGTTTTATTTTATTGTAAGGGGCACGTAAATATTCTATTCTGATAACGTAAACGAAAAAGTTTTGGATACTAAAATGTTAGTGTAGTACAGCATAAATCCATTATTTGCACGTTTTTCTTTTCAAGCATAGGTTAAAGTACTGCCTTCAAAAACATTTATAATGACCATAATATATTTCCAATACTGTTGCCTTTATAACATTACAAAAAATTTTTAAGTACTTCCACTCCTGAAAAACTCACGAATTATTATTTGTTAAAGTAGTGTACTACTTACTATATACTAAGAAATTAATGCACCTAACTTAATTGAAAAACTGACATTGTTAATTTTTTGTATTTGGCGAATACATTGCTCCGTGCTACTGCCATGTAGTGGCGCCATTTTCTTACGGCGTCACTGACAGGCGCGCGACCCAGCAATCCTTGGCTTACTTTCGGGCCTGATAAGAGTTTGACGAGGGATGACATGTGTGTGTGTAGGAAACTATCGATAGTTGCTGTTGTCGAAATCTACGTCTGACCTTCAATGCTGGATCTCCAAGCAAATGCATTTTCATCTGCTGACAAACTGACAAATTATCTATTACTTAACTGACAAAATGTTGTTTACTAAAATGTAAACGTTATGATGTAACCCGAGAAAATAATGCACTGTTATCTTATGCAGCAAATATGAATTTATTAATTATTTGGATCATTGTATTCAGAGCAAAACACTTTTATTTCTTATTTGTAATTATGATTACTTAGTAATTGGCATCCACCATGTAACAGATTCGGAAAATTGTTTCAGGTGTAACACATTGGTTACCAGCTGCAAAAAATTTGCAATATTTCCATTGTTGGGAAGATGTTCCGGAAGAGTTAAAAACACAAATTCGTCCAAAAATGTTTCCTCCAGCAAAAAAAGATTCTGCAAAATATAACTTGGATAAATGGTATGAAAATATAAATTTCACTAAAATTTCGTAAAATCATTGTGGTCATGCTAAAAAAATATAATATCAAACACTTGTGTAATTGTGAGAATTAAAGCCCAACTATTATTAAAAAAAAACTTTGTGCAAACAAACTAATTTTTCCGCAAATAGACCATACTTTGAATTATTAGCTAGAAGTTCTTCTAAAAAACGATTGAAACTTAATGCATAACACACAGTTAAAAACTTAAATATTAATTTTATCGCAAAAATTTTACATTTAAACCAAAAGGTAGTCAGGAGTATAAATCCACTAAATAATATTTAATTTCTACTTATAAGATGATCGTTAATACATTATTTTTCTTTGGTTGATGAAAAATATCTTTCCTAGAAGTAATTAATAGTATCACTATTTTTGTCAAGTTAATATTCTTAGACAATTAACATGTCTCCATCGAACTTTTTCTTTTATAAACATTAATATTATTATTTTGGTATAAAGATTTTTAATATTACTGATAATGTCTAGATGTTCACCTATATTTAAATCATCAGGTAGTTCGTGGTTTACTTGATCACGTGAATTGCTATTTTTCTTAAACTATTCTATACATTGCTATTTTTGTGATGCACTGAAAAATAAGTATATCCATTAAGCTGTCAAGTGCTGCTACAACGGCAGTGCTGGCACATGCAGTATCCGTACAGTTAATTCAGACCAAATACACATGATTTTTTGGCAGGTGTGACGTCAGTAAAGGCAAAACAAGAGATTGTATTTCTTCGAACCTAACATCACTTTTGCCTGTATAAGTACGTACGTGATTGCTAATGTTATTTTAATTTTTTCTAAAAAATGGACTTAGATGTTCAAAATAAACTGACTTTATTAAACTTATAATAGCTTAGCAAGTGTTATAAAGATAAGCACCATGAGTCAAACTATATAACAGGTGATAACAAAGTTAGTTATACTTCGTAAAATTTTTGCAAAGACAATTATTAATTAAAACTGTTTTCAGCATGTAAATACCAAAATATGGACTCTTTTGTTTCTAATAAATAAACTAAATGAGTGTAGATTCCAAGAAACTTTTATCGTAAAATATCAATTATGGATAAATGTATGCTTGCCTGATTTTATAATCTTAAACTCATGATCAAGTAATCTCATATCAATAATTCCAGGCCAAAACTAAACACTTCCCAATTGTGATCCTACTGTCTCTTCATGTTTCAGTATTAAAATTGATGATATGAATGTCAAAATAGTAAAGTGAAAACACTATGATTTTTTTTAAGTACGTGGCACTTGTTGAGTTCTTTGGATAGCCTTCAGAATATCTTTGTTTAAGTGATTTTCAATTACGTAACAATCGTCTTTTCCGTGATTTTAAATGATTTTTTTTTGTTTTGTTTTTTTTTTGTTTTTTTTTTTTTAATGAAGAATTTTAAAGAAAAAAACATTTCTTTCACATTCTGCTNCACATATATATGTATATATATATATATATATATTTATATGTATATCTTCTTTTGCAAGTTAGATTCGTACTTCCTAGTCACAATGTTAAGGCCCAGTAGAAGTCAGTAGGCGTTATTCATTATCGTCAAAAAGCTTTTATTATGTTGTGTTGCTTGATGTAATATTAATAAACGCACAAAATTTTAGCAAGTTTGGTTTTCAAAGTTTTGAAAAAATAATGATTTATCTTTTTTTAACCCGATTTGCAGGTCTTTTCTTTTATAGAAAGAAATTATACCAAACCAAGCAGCAAAATTTAAAATATCCTGTTGGAATTTCCGAAAAATTATAGTATTACCTGGTTTTGTAATGCTTTTTAGAGCTATACTAACTTGTGACAGATGTATGAAATTGTATAACTTTATTAAATTTTTGATCCAGATTTTTATTTTTTATGTAACTTAGTTGCACTTTTGAAAATAGTTGCGACCTTCTGAAGCGAAGATAATTTTTTTTAATTTTATTTTTGTACCATTGTTCATTAACTTTTTCGGCTGAAACTTGCATAGTAGGCTGAACGTTGCATTTTGTAGTTAAAGATTAATAGTTTTATTTCAAAATATGAACGTTCTGTTAACGGCTGGTTGGTGACTAAAATAAAATGAAAAAGTCACATCCTAAGATGCGGCCTAAGCTGTATGATGTATTTGATGATGTAGTTGTTAAATCAGGAGTTCTTCGGAGGTTGCACTGAAGGACCGCTTCTATTTCTTATTTACGTTAATGATATTGAGGATGTTATGCATGGATCACAAATTCTTTGGTTTGCTGATGACATCAAATTGTATAAATGTATATACAAAGACTCTGATTGTCAAATATTGCAGCATGATCTTGATGAGCTTGTTAATTGGAGCAAGGCTAATGATCTTAGAGCCTATGTAAAGAAAAGTGCTGTGATTCCGTTCTCTAGGTCTAGGGAGGTCGTACTTCATGGTAAAAATGCTTGTAAACAAATCACTTAGCTCATTTTCATGAAAAAATATTACTTTAAAGTGATCAACCATTTTTCTTAATGTCATTTCGGGCTACTATATAACTCACTTTAAGCCTTGAATTTACAGCTTTGGAATGAGAGGTGTTATAGCTTTATATCTTGAAAAGGAGCCAAGTTATGAGCGAAAAGGTTTTGAAAACCGCCAATCTTCAAATTTTTTTCACTAAATTTGCAATATCTCTGGCTCTAATCAACGTTTTTTAAAAATTCTTGGTCTGGCATATTTCTGGTGAGATAAGTTTTCAACTGTTTAGTTATTATATTCAAACACACTTTCTACTAATTTCGATCGCGTTATAAACATTTAAATTGTTAATAACAGTTTTTTAAACAATTTTACAAAAAAAATGAGTTTTTTGCGGGCAAAATTACATCGAATATGCTTACTCGTTTTAGTGAAAGTCAATCGGCTACGAAAACACCCCTAGCTGCCGTACTAGTAGGTCAGGCACCCTTTCCGCATCATTGCTCCGGGTTTTCCGAGCGGCTGCGTTCAAAATAAAAAACGCGCATCAAAATTAACAATATTTCGGGAACCACGTAAGATAAATTGATAAATCTTTTTTTAACATGGGGTAGTTTTTAATGATATTAATAATGATTTTAGTTATTAGTAATTATTGCAAAATAATTTATTTATAACAATAAAATTTTTTTTTTTTAACACAGTTTGAAACATTAAACGTGCATACAATTGTGGTAAGTCACTATGCAAATTATTTTAGTTGTTATTATTATTATTACTCTATTTATTAGTATAATTGTTATTATTATTGTGATTTCTCAATAACTACATACATCATTGTTAATCATTACTCATTATACAGGTTCTCTTATTATTCATATAAAGTTATAAATATGTGCAATCTTATTATTATTAAAAGCTACCCCATGTTGAAAAAAAATCATCAATTAATCTTACTTGGTTCCCGAGATATCGTTAGTTTTGATGCGTGTTTTCATTTTGATCGTGGCCCGTTTGAAAATCCCGGGGCCATGATGCGGAGAGAAGGTGTGGCCTACAGCGGTACCTTGCCACAACGCCGCACCCACTAAAAATGGCTGTTTTTTAACATGGATTTTTTGCGTACTTCCGAAATGTCGAACGGAATGGCGTTTTGGTAGGTTGTAGATAAACTCTCGACGAGTATAATGCCGTTTGAAAAATGGCAATATGTTGGAAAACCAGCCACGTCCAACTTTTTTGCGACAGGAACATTTTTTGCTTCTTGCAGCGGTTTGCCAAAAGTTTAAAACTGATCTTCTTAAAATTTGACGTGGATGTTACGGGACATGAAATCTACCTGGTTTTTTAATTTTTAAGTCTTCATATTTAAAGGAACGCGAGTTCTGGATTTTTCAAAAAATGGTTCAACGTAGTACTTTTTTGAAAGTTGCATAAAACGGCTAGACCAATTTTATCTTACTGAAGCTCTTTTTCTTCGTCTTAAAATTGCATTTTTTTCACCCATATAACTTTTTTGTCCGACTCTCCAGTTTTTTTCAAGATACGAAAAACCATTTTGGGCCATTGTTACCATTTTCTTAGGCCGTTAGCTGACACGATTAAAAGTTTAAAACTATTTAGATTTATTCTAAAACCGCTTAACTACCACCCAAATTTCTTTCTTGATAAAAGCAGTTTCCTAAAAATGATCATGCTTTTTTGTTAAATCCACCTTCTAAAAGCAATCTTTATGAAAAAGCTGTTGATTTAAAATTAACGTTTATAGTGTTTTAAACAGATTTTTATTATTTTAAATTTAACTTATTTCTGTAACTGCTGGTCACCCTCTGCTATCGCGTATGCAGTCGCAAAATCTTCTATTACCTTCAAAGTGTTTAATCTAATTGTGTTTACTTTTTAGTGCTATGTTTAAGAAGTGTCAAACTACTTATTAGACCTAAGTGTTGAAGAAGGGAAAAGATTTTAAAGAACATAAAATAAAATAATTAAGAAAGTACACAAAAAATAATGATATCAGATGCCGAACGGCTATGTCTTTGAGGCTAAGGGATAGCGGGGCGTATAACTAGTAGTTAGAGGAATTGTATTTAAGTTGTTTAGACTCAAAAGTCTTGCGAAAATCAATGAATACGCACGCGCGCATACACATACTCACATATATGCTAAAATTAAACCGTTTTTACCGTTGATTTAACATTTTTAACTTTTTCCGTAAACCCCCCACAGTCCCTCTAGCCTTTCCATAGCTCCTTTACAGCACTCCTACACCATTATTTATGTTTTCTCAAAGCCCCCACACCATTTTTCTTGTTGTGCCACAGCTCTCCACAACCTCTCTACAGCTCCCACACTATTTTTCTATATACATACCGATGGCCTGGACGAAGAAAAGCTTAGCTCAGATTTCTCCATGTTATTTTAAATAGCAAAATTTGAGATAAGCGTTTCTTCGTCCGGGCCGTAGATATATATATTTATATATATATATATATAAATGTTTTTTTGCATTTGTGTTTATTTATTTC